GGGAAGGATTGCAGGGTATACCCTATGGTTGGTTGATGATGCATGGAGGGGATTGTAACCATGGCAATGAGACAATATAGGATGGAATGAATGTAAAACTAATGTTCTCCCATGTAAACTACCACATAATCCACAATAAAACATTTAAGAAAGAAAAAAAAAAAACCCACAAAACACAACTGTGTTAAGCATCCATCACTCACAGACAGTCTGTTGTATTAGGGTGACTTATATCCATCCTACTGTGACACTAGAAATTATGTCACCGGTATTTCAAATACCAACAGGATCACCTGTGGTGGACAGGGTTCACCAGCGCTTCCAGACTATGACAGACTAAACAGGAAGAACCCGGTGATCTACTTCTAAACAAACTGATCAGTGAAAATGTTAGGAATAGCTGCAGAGCATTGTCTGATGTGGTGCCGGAAGTTGAGCCACACAAGGTGGAAGGCGTAAAGTGAAGAGGAAAAAGTTGCCTCCTTAAAGTGGAGTCGACCTCAATGATGTATACGGAGTAATGCTTTCTGGACCTTCATTTGCTGATGTGGCACAACTCAAAATGAGAAGAAACAATGCAAACATCTATTCATAACTGGAATACGGAATACATGAATTATTAATCTAGGAAAATTGGAAGTCATCAAAAATAAAATAGAGTGCATAAAGATCCATATTCTTGGCACGAGTGAACTAAAATGGACTGGCACTGGTCATTCTGAATCAGACAATCCTACAGACTATTATGACAAGAATGACCAGTTAAGAGGAAGGGCGTTACAGTCCTTGTCAAGAAGACAATTTGAAGATTTATCCTGAAGTACAACACTTTAACTGATAGGATGGTACTTATACAGCTATAAGGAAGACCACTCAATAGGACAATGACTCAAATTTATACACCAACCAACAAACTTCAAGATGAAGAAATTGAAGATAAGAAATTGAAGATTTTTGCCAAATTCTGTAGTCTAACATTGATCAAACATGCAATTAAGAGGCATCGATAATGACTGAAGACTGAAATGACGAAAGTTGGAAACAAAGAAAAAGGATCTGTAATTGAAAACTATGGCCTTAGCAGTAGAAACGACACAGGAGACCACATGACAGAACTTGCAAGACGAATTCGTCGTAAAAATCTTTTTCCAACAACAATCATGGCAACTACACATGTGGCCCTCAAGAGATGGGATACAAGGCAATGAAACTAAGTACATCTGTGGAGAGAAATGATGAAGACACACGGTATCACCAGTCAAAGCAAGGCCCAGGGCTGACTTCAGAGCAGGAACATCAACGGTTGATGCTGAAGAAAATGAAAACAAGCTCACTAAAGCCAAAGGACAGCCCCAAGGATATTCCACTTGAATTCAGCACCACCTCAAACATAGTTCTGACAGAAAGAACACTTGTGATCAAAGACTGGATAAACTGTTGTATGGCATCATACATGACGAAAGCAAAAGGCCATTTAAAAGACAGGAAATGAAAGTCAAAAAGAGACGGAAATTTGCTCCAGATTGTAAGAGAATAATAAATAATTAAGTAATAAAGGAGCTGAACAGAAGATTTAAAAGGTAGTTCATGAGATGCTACTGCTGTTACTAAATGCTGTTGAGTGACCCTGTAAATGGTTTCTACTTCATAATCACCCTTAAAGGGTTACAGAGGAACAGGTGGCAGATTTGAACCCCCGACCGTGTGGTTAGCAGTCCAGTGCTAATCTTACAGGGTCACACAGTAGTATAATAAAATGTACAAAGGTCTGGAGTTAGAAGGTCAGAAAGAAGGAAGAACATGCTTCATGCTCAGCATTGCTCACACTGAAAGAATTGAGGAAAACATTCAAGCTTCCAGTTGCAATACTGAAGGATTCTATGGGCAAAATAAGGGCTGCTAGTGATGCTGTAGATAAGCACTGGACTGCTAAGCACAAGGTCGGAAGTTCAAACCCACCAGCTGCTCTGCTGGGGAAATTGGATGCTTTCTGCTCCCATAAAGATTTACAACTTCAGAAACTCTATACAGAGTCGCTATAAGTCAAAACAGACTCAATGGCACATAACAACAACAATTACTGAATGATGCAGTAAGCATCTAAAGATGGTGGAAGGAATAAACACAGTCACTGTGCCAAAAAGAATGGGTGGACATTCAACTCTCTCAGGAGGTAGCATATGATCAAGAACCAATGGCACTGAAGGAAGATGTCCAAGTAGCACTGAAGACATTAACAAAAAACAAGGCTTCAGGAACTGACAGAATAGTAACTGAACTGTTTCAATAAACTGATTCAGCACTGGAAACACTCACTAGTCTATGCCAAGAAGTTTGGAAGGCACCTGCCTGGCCAACAAACAAGAGCTTCATGTGTGTGTGCCCATGCCAAAATAAGGTCACCCAAAAGAATGTAGAAATTAGCAAACAGTATCAATTAGTATCACACAAGTAAAATTTTGCTGAAGATACTTTAGAATTGGTTGCAGAAGTATACAGACAAGGTGAACTCCCAGAGATTCAAGTCGGATTAAGAAGAGGCCATTCTTGAGATAAATTGGAAAAGAGAAAGCCTCAGCAAAGAAATATAAGACACTCTTAAGACCAAGTGGAATTTCTGTAACTGAAATAAAAATTAAAAACAAAACAAAAAACACTGGATATAAGGAGCTCTGGTAGTGTAGTGGTTACGAATTGGGCTGCAAACTGCAAGGTCAGCAGTTCGAAACTACCAGCTGCTCCGCGGGAGAAAGATGAGGCTTTCTGCTCCCGTAAAGATTTATAGCCTCAGAAACCCTGTTTAGGGTTGCTGTGGGTCGGAACTGACTCGATGGCACTTAACAACAACAATAACAGGAAGGAGATGAGAGAGAACTGGAAAACAGAGTGAACTGGAAAACAGAGTCCCCCAAAAAAGCATGCAATCTGAACAGAAAGACAAGTTATTAAAAGAAAAGAAAAAAAACCAAACCCTAAAAGAAAAACCCAGAACCTCGGAGACAACAGGAGTCCTGGTATAAGGCTATAGGATAAGAACTGGACAAGGTTACAGCTCACCCACCAGTCACTCCTCAGAAACCCTATACAGGGGGTCTATGAGTTGAAGGAAATGAAAAAGACTACAGTGCTGAAAAAATACTTTAGTCAGAAATGGCTGACTGAAGAAGTGCAGGAAACTCCCCAAAAAATAAGACCAAAGAAATTCATGCCCAAACACATCTACTGAAACTAAAGACAAAGAAAAAATCATAAAAGAAGAGAAAAAAACATTTCGGCAATATGGTATACTCTTCTAGCCCCAGTCTTTGTGACTCCCACCAAATGATGGGTGGGTGCATCCACCTAGGGTATGAAACTGTACCATGGGGCTTGTGCATTTACCATTCCCACTAGGTACAAAATGAGCCATCTCAGAAGTAGGAACAGGGTCTCTCACGGCCATCCAGAGAGCAGAGAAGAAATGGAGCGTTGCCCTTACACCCAAGATTCCTGTGTGGAACATCTCTTCACCCCCAGAGACACACAGCTGTGACATTACAAAAGTGGCAGCAGCAGAGACAGCAAAGCCAAGAACACAGATAGAGCAGGGTGGCGGGCTTCCGGGCCCACAAAGCCAGGAAGGCGGAACACTGGCTTGCGGAATGGAGTGCCTCCAGGCACTTAATTGGGAAAACTAGTGTTGCAGACCTGTGTGTGGAGCTAGGTGGGGTGTAACACTCGTGCAAAGTGGTCACGGGCCAAGGAACCGAGGGCCTGCGAACCCTACAGGTACAGCTGCGAAGAGGTGCTCCTGACTGGGGAACTGCTGTCTCCTCAATATTTCTGATCCTGTTAACTTCCTTAATAAACCCCACAATCATAAGTATTCTGTGTGGCTGCTGGAATGAATTTTTGGACCCAGCAGAGAAGCAGAATGCCGTGGGAGGGATGGCTGCTGTAAAGAAGGTCAGATGGTGGAGGCATGTCTGACCTCCACCTCATAGGTTCAAGCCCACCAGCCACTCCATGAGATAAAGAAGAAGCTTTCTGTTCCCACAAACATTTACAGCCTCGGAAACCCTATACAAAGCCAGTATGAGTTGAAACCAATAGACATCACTTAACAACAACAATCATATTATAAAACATACTCCAACAATCAAGAACAGTCTTGAAACGAATGGGCTGATGTGTCATTTGTTTCTCCTTCCACCTGTCTACTTAGAGGAGATCAGACACCACCCCCATCTCCCTTTGGTGCTGTGGATTAATGCACTGGACTGCAAGGTCGGTTTGAACCGCAAGGTCAGTGGTTCAAGCTCACCAGCTGCTCCTCAGAAACATTATACAGGGTTGTTATGAGTCAAAACGGACTCAAGGGCACTTAATAAGGAAAGACAATTTGAATGACCACGGAGGTCTCATCAGAAACAAAGGAGGCAAAAAGCAAGTGAGAGAACTTTTTTTTTTTAATGCCACAAAGAAAAAACCGTTATCAACACAGAATTCTGTATCACGTGAAACATCCTACAAATATGAATTAGAAATAAAGACATTCTCAGATGAAGAAAACTCACTGTAAATAAACCTACTCTAAACAAACTTCTGGAGTCCTGGTGTGGCGCTGTAGGATATGTACTAGACTGTGAACCACAAGGTCAGCAGTTCTAACCCACCAGTCACTGCATGGAAACCTTCTACAGGGTTGCTATGCATAGGAACTGACTCAATGGCACTTACTGCTAAATCCTATCAAATGATGGACATCAAGAACAAAAGAATGAGCAACAGAAACTAAACATGTGGGTATATACAAAGGACACTTTCTAAGTTCTTTAAAATTTGTATGACAGCTGAAAGCAAAACAGGTAGGGCTTTCATAACACAACTGTAACATACTGGAAGTGGGTAGTAAACAGACCCGTAATGTGGTAAGGTTTCTGCGTTCTACTTTAAAGGTAAGATATCATTGCTGAGCATACTATGAGAAGATAAGTCTGTATACTACAAATCCTAAAAAACAAATTACATAAAAAACAGACAAATTAAAAATGGAATACTACATCATGTTCAAATTGCCTAAAAGAAAGAAACAAAAAACCAGAAATAACAGAATACAAATGATTAATGATAGACTTAAAACCATAAATATAAATTACATTAAATACCAATGGTCTATGCCTGCTAAAAGATTAGAGGGTATCAGCAGACTTATAAATCCAGACTCAGAGATGCTGTCCTTAAGAAATCACTTCAGATCGAATGATCTAAATGGGTACAAGTGAGAAACAGGACACCAGACCAACAGTGATCAAAGAAAGTAGGCATGGCTACATTAGCATCAGGTCTCTTCAACCTGACTGAAGAGACGCTGGAAAGGTGGCGGGAAAATGATCCTTGACCTAACCTTTAATACATTAACTCAAAATGGATCACAGATCTAAATGTAAAATTAAAAACAGCAAACAATAAAAGCTGTAAACAAAAACACAGGAGGAAATTGCATGTGACCTGTGGTTAAAGTAAAGAATTATTAGACATGATGCTGAAAACACAACCCATAGGACAAAAAAAATTATAGACTGGACGATAGAAGAAATAAATCTAACCATTTTTTTCCGGTTTACCCAAAGTTAAATCTCTAAGTATTTTCCTCAGGTATAAGCTAATGCCAATGCCTCTGCAGAATTTTTAAATGGCTAACTTCTAAATGTCCAAATGAAAGTGGTCAGAAGGGATGGGCAGTCAAGACTCGTCCATCACCATGAACACCTGTACAGCCCAGGGGTCTCGAGCTGCTGTTTCAGGGGTACCTTAATGTGAAGAGTAGGAGCTCTGGCAGCATGGTAGCTTATAAGTTTCGCTGCTAGCCCCAAGGCCAGCAGTTCAACTCTACTGTGAGAGAGACGAGACTTTCTACTCATGTAAAGATTTACAACCTGGAAACCCTATAGAGTTGGAACAGACTCCCTGGCATGTTAAGTCCCACCACCAATTTGAGGAGAGAAGAAAGAGCTTAATGCTTCTATCTACAACCACTATATTTTCTGTATCATTTTCTACTTAAAATATTTTCAGAGATTAACATATTTAAAATAAATAATAATAAAAACTACTGTCATTTTCATGTTTAAGCTTGCTTCTTTGCACCGTCTAGCGTAGTGACAGAAATGGATCCCGCTTAAACATACTGGAAATCATTCATTTTCAATGATCTGGAACTCAATGAACAAATTTAAATTTTTGAAAAAAGAAACATGAACTCACACTCAAAAGTCTCTATTAACAAATGAACGTCAACCCCATGAGGCAAAGGGTGCAGCCAGGTCATTCCCAGAACCTTAGAGAACACCAGGAGGTCCTCAATCAATCTTTAATACATTCAGTAATTCCCTCTCATCCAAATACCAATGAAATACCACGCAAGAATCCAAGAGAAATCATTTGTCCTCACCATCTTGGGTACTGGAACCTTTCAACAAGCAAGTATGCAATAACTTCAACAGCAACTGGAGGCATCTGTCAGTTTTCAGCAAGGGTATGTAGGCATTTGTGCCAAACTTCATAAGGGCATCCAGAAGAGGATCTAAGAATGTCCTTAATACATTCTGTATTCTCCGCTTTTCACTAGGTATTAAAAGACATGCCCAAATCAAGCATTTCAAAAATAAAAAGAAATGATTTCCCACCTTTCATTTATGGAATTGGCTAATTAAACAATCCAATCAGACAAATTACTCTAATGAAGGATCAAACACTGAGCACAGGTCAGGGTTGACCTTGTACAGCCCAGCATTCCCCATGAGTTAGCAATTCACCAAAGAAAAAAACACAAAAGACACACCGTACTCAACTCCAGACAACTATGACACAAACCCCAGGTCCAATTCTACTTGGAAAAATAAAAAATGCTTATTATTATCTGCTTCTACAATACAAACAAACACACAAGCATTCTGCTAATCAAGGAATAAGACTTTAAACAAAATATGTACAAAGCATAATTAAGGATTTAGGAAAAACTGGTAAAGCGAACTTAAAAGCAAAACCAATATGCTAATCAAGTAAACGAGATATATTAATATTAAATGAAAAACTGCAAAACATAATTAAGAATTTAGGAAAAAACTGGTCTAGCCAATCTTAGTATGAAAACTGTCTAGAAACTAAATTTGCTATCAATCAAGTTAATGTGCGAAATTAAGTCTGAAATTAAGCTTCTTTTTGCAACAATGATAATCTAATGAGAATTGATTTATCCATATTCACTAAAAATATATGAGATGGTTTTATCTCTATTACCAATTTTTTGTAAAATCACACATTCTGCAAAGGGGTCATGTTCAGTGACTTTCTTTACCCAATCCTATGCTAGGAACTTACAACCCATTCTTCTAGTATTATAACCAGTCATTACTGTAGATAGCTTTAAGTTTGTTTGTTTTTATAACTTTCTCAAGATATCTGTATTTGCACAGGCTTTTTGCACGGTGCTAAACAGTGCAGTGGCTTTGCTGGAAACCACAAGGTCGGCAGCTCAAGGTCAGCCGCACCACAGGAGAAAGATGAGGCTCTGCTCCCGCCAACACGTACAGCCTTCATGAATCAAAATAGACTCCTAGGCATTTCACGGCAACAATCCATTTTACCAATCTAAAAATACTAGTATGACTTGATTTATATGAATTTATTGCTAATTTAAAACATTTCTTTATGTTTTAAATTGATAACTGTTCTAATACTCTCCCTTAATACTCTTATAAAGTTATCGAAGGGCCACTGAGTCAGTACTGAGTCATAGCGACCTTGTAGCGGGTTTCCAAGGAGAAGCTGGTGGTTTTGAACCACAGACTTTGCAGCTGTAGTCTCGTGCTTATCCTAGAGCACCACAGTAGGACTCCTTAATATTCTATACAATTCATTAAGAATCTGAATATACACCATAAACCTGACTAGTGCTTCATTGGTTTTGCCATGCTTTCTTGTCAAGTTTACAAACACTTACCTGTATTGATTCTTCATTGCTTCCACATCCACAGCCAGGAGCACCATGATGGCAACAAGCTTGGCTTCAAACCAATCAGGCATAAAGCTGCTTTCTCCTAATGAAAATAGTATTTAAGGTTGGTAAAGCATTAATCAAAACGTACAAAAGTGATTCAAAAAAATGAAACACCTCAGTGATCATGTCTTATTAATATTAACCAATAGAGAAATATAGCTCTGAGAACAAAAGAGAAATGTTTCCTGAAGAAAGAACATATAAACTCATGTTTCTGGAAGTATAAGCAGCTAATCATTTAAGACCTATCTCATTTTCAGATTACAGAAATCAACAGCTGAAAATCACTGGGAGACAAATTCAAGGACATGTTAAATTCAAAGACGCAATTTACCCAAATTACTACTAATGACTGTAAATGAAGTGAAAGCATTAGAAAAGTAAAAAGAATCCTAATTAAAGAATTTAGTAATAGCTCTTCCCTCGTGCTATTTTACACATTATTGTCACAAAGAAGTGGCCACATTGATTATGCAAAATATCTGGTAAAAAGAAAAAACTGAAAAAAATCATCCTTTCAAATATAACTTCTCTCTAAAAGTCTTTGCAAAAATCAATTCACAATGCTCTTGTTTATAAAATTATAATGCTGGGGGCAGAGGGGATAATGAACATATTTACCTACAGACATCTATTTTCACTATAAATTTACCTACACATGAATACTTCTACTACAGATCCACCTACATCAATTGCTAAACACTCATCTGCAAGATCCAGGCAATAAGGACTCAACATTTTAGAGTAAATTAATAAATTTGCATTCAATGCCTATTCTGGTAACTTAATAGTTTGCAAAACTTAAAATACTTCAAGCTCTCACATCCTGGAAAAGATGTGGCACAAGTTAGGAAAACATTCTATTTTTCACATATTTCAACATGCATTTGGTTAAGCCCAAATTTCCATCTAAAAAACACAAGTTTAAAATATTGTTAGCATTTGGGTTGTATGAATCCATAAAAATTAGTCACCCTTCAGGTCTAGAACTGAATGCGCCCTCATAGCTCAGTGTTCAGCCAAACAACAGATAGGTTTATGAGGGGAACAATAACACTAGGGGGTCTGTACACCTCAGAATACTCAGCCATTAGAGATCAAAAGGGCAGCATTTACCCAAGGGCACAGTTCAGAAGGGTTAGGAAGAAGGGGCAATGGAAACAGGAAATGCAGAGAGGTAGAGTGGCATGTGAGGCTACATGGTAGGGATCGCATTCAATGAGAGGAACTGCAACATGCATGACTATTGAATGGAAAACTGATGAGCTGCTCTGTAAACCTTCAGCCTGATCACAATCCAAAGCTATGGGGGGAAAAAAAAGTTTTAAACTTACTTTCCCCAGCGGGTGACTTAACATACTCTTGAACTAGGTTCCGTACATAAGCATTCAAGTAAGATGTCTCATCAAGCCCAGCGGAGCTCCAATCTGAAGGTCGCCTAAAACGGCTTTCATTAACACGCAGCCAGTCACAGAGCTAGAAGAGACAACAGTTATTACTTTATTTTAGAAATCTAACGGGACAAAGCGCATCCAATCTCTATTATGTCAATTCTCAATGCCTCAGTAAACGTAATTTATATAATTGAATATAGCAAAGCAACTCACAATTTGTTGTCATGAGTGAGTTCCAGACACAGAGAAAAAATAGTGTGTATGGAAATTTAAGTATGTGTGTACATACATATATCCATACCTATGTGTATAAGTGTGTGTTTTCTAATCTGCCTCAAAGAATTCCTAAACTTCATTAACAGGTAAATTTTTTTACATTATTTAATATAAAATGCATATCCTGAAAACATATTCTAAAGAACATCTCCACAAAAAATAGGAAAATTGAGCGGGTGGGGGAAGAACAGCTAATGCCTATGTTTGCATGTATGCAACACACACACACACACACAGATGCTCTCTACCCAGATATATTCTAGCAACACCTAGAATTAGCAGACATCATAGACATGAAAATAAGATAGGATGCAAACAAACAAGAAGCAGGCCTTTCCTTTACAACAGGAAATGGCCTAGGGAGACAAATCAACAATACTTCTCCAAAGTTCTAAGACATTAAAGGTTGTGCCACATAAATTTTATTACTACAAAAGTCAATGAAAAGGTAGTTTGAGACATACAAGGACTCAGAAAATCTACCATTCCAATGTTGTTGTTAAGTGCAATCAAGTCGGTTCTGACTCACGGTGACTCTGTACAGGGCTTCTAAGGAGTGCCTGGTGGGTGTGAACCTCCAACCTTGGGGTTAGCAGTCCTGTGCTTATCCTACAGAGCCACATCATGACTAACCTCACCATTCCTATATTTTTTAATACGTAAAATTTAAAACATGTACAAACAAATATAAAAAATAAAATTAACAGTACAAAAATGGAGAAAGGAAGCGAACACTAGGCCTGCTAAAGAACACTAAACCCATTCAAACACTTCTGAGAAATCAGGCATAGAATGCGGACATACGGTGGTGGTGGTGATGTGCCATGGAGTCGGTTCTGACTCAGAGCAACGCTTACAGACTTACCAAGGCTGTCAGTCTTTACAGGAGCAGAAAGCCTCATCTTTCTCCTACATACGATTCTATAATCTACTTAAGCTAATAAATAATTATCAGAAAACTGAATATAAAACTGGACACAGCTGTCCGTGTTCTTTTAATGAGGTGGATTTTTCCACAATGAGATTGTCACGGTAGTATATATACAAAACATAGTGAAAAGAAAGAATTACTGTAATTAATCACACTAAAAAAATCACTACTGATATTTTGCATTTCTGCATGTATGCATGCGTGCGCTGGGGTTTTTTTGTTTTGTTTCACTTAACTGTAATCATATTGTATGGTGGTGGTGGTGGTGATGTGCCATGGAGTCAGTTCCAACTCAGGGACCCTGTACAGGGTTTCCGAGGCTGTAAATCTTTACGGGAGCAGGAAGTCTCATCTTTTGCCCGTGGAGCAGTGGGTAGTTTCGAACTGCTGACCCTGAGAATAGCAGCCTGATTTGTAAACATGGCACTACCAGAGCTCCTTAATAATACTGTATAAATAATAACATATCTAGTGATTTTAAAGACTGAATTATGATTGTAAAGGTAACATGGGCTCAGCTCATTGCTTTAAAAACATGAGAAAAGTCACCCAGAATCTCACCATCTTATTATGACCACCTAAGGTCGGAATCGATTCAATGGCACTTAACAACAACAATAACCTCATATGCATGCAAAAGCTGGACAGTGAATAAGGATGACCTCAGAAGAATTGATTCTTTTGAGTTATGGTGTTGGAAGAGAATATTCAAAGTACCATGGGATGTCAAAAGAACAAACATATCTGTGTTGGAAGAAGCGCAGCCAGAGTGCTCCTTGGAGGCCAAGATGACCAAACTTCCTCTCTCATACTTCAGACATATTGTCAGGAGGGATCAGTCGCTGGAGAAGGATGTCATGTTTGGTAAGGTGGAGGGTCAGAGAAAAAGAGGAAGACCCCCAACGAGATGCACTGGAAAACTGGCAGCATCAGTGGGCTCAAGCGTGACAGCAATAGTGAGGTTGGCCCAGGAGAGGCAGTGTTTTGTTCTGTTGTGCACAGGGTCGCTATGAGTCAGTACTGACTCGATGGTACCTAACAACAACGAACCATTGTCAAACTGATCCTGATTCACAGAACCCCTGTGGTACCAGGTGTCACAGAAGCAGAGTGCCACATATCTCTCCTGTGGTGAGTTCAAACCATGGACCTTCTGCTTAGCTGCTGAGCAGTTAGCCACGGAGCCACAAGTGCTTCTATTGACGACAACAGCTGTTAACATCACAGTTTTTCTTATTCACTATTGACACTGTTTGTAATAGCTAAAAGTCTGGAAGCAAGTGAAGAGCCTAGCCGTGGGGGGAATAGAATACAGAATGGAGGAAACACACAATGGACTACTACACAGGTGTACAAAAAGAGTAAGGAAGATTTCTGGTTACCGATACGGGGAAATCACTAGAGAACTTTTTATTTAAAAACTGGAAGACCGTGAACAATGCATATATAATATGTTACTCTTTGTCTTAGGAATTGGGGACAGGACAGAGGAAAAAGAGAACAAGGTGGAAGATCGGGAATGGTAAACTTTTCTGAGTGTATGATTTTAATCTTCAACTCACAAAAATTCATTACCAACTTACTTATACAGAACTGAATTTAAACGAAAGGAAAATTATTTGCAACACGTATAACAACTTGCCAATACCCTTAAAGTAAAAAGAAGCTGGGGAAAATACAACACTAAAATCTCAAAAGAAAATGAGGAATGAGCAGGAACAGAAAATTCAGAAACGAGCTACAACGGTTAGAGAACATGAAGAAACTGTTCAAACACACTAGCAATGTGAGCAATATAAATTAAAAACCAGAGCTATTCTGTGTTCTCTAGCAACGTGGAAAAGAACTGGACAGGTTACTGTTGTTATGTGCCATGGAGTCGATTCTGACACATAGCGACCCTGTACAGGGTTTCCAAGGCTATAAATCTTTACGGGTGCAGAGAGCCTCATCTTCCTCCCGTGGAACGGCTAGACAGGCTGTAGGTACTATAATACTGCTAATATAAAATAGATGTATATGTTTATACACTGAAACTTGCCAACCTGCAGCAAAAATCTTTAAACTATTCAAAATTCAGCTATTTAAATTTTATGAATTTATCCTACAGAAATATTCAAATGTAAATACTCATTTAGAAATATGCTCAGCCTTATGTGGGTTAATGCGCCAGACTGCAAAGCCATTTGAAATGCAAGGTCAGCAGTTCAAGCTCACCAGCTGCTCCTCGGAAATCCTATACAGCGTGGCTGTGGATTGGAACCAGCTTAACGGCACTTAACAACGTTACTTACAATAGCAAAAACGTGGAAACAAATGAAAAAAGGAACTGATAAAATAAATTCTAAACAGATTTGCAAGAGCTAAGTGGTTCAGAGGTAAATAATGATGTATGCACAACCTTGGAACAACAGGGCTCTTGGATACAGAGATTGAGACATGGTTGGAATGGGGGAAAGGGGGGAATAATGTTAAGATGCTTGGCATCTTTTGAATTTTGGTTTTCCTTGCATTATATTATAAAATAGACAGTGGAGGGGGTGAGAAAGGAATAGCCAGAATTATTTTAAGTCTATCTTCTGCCTGTAACTGATTGGAATACCTAAAATGGGGCTACAACGTGCCTAGTGAAGGAGGCTTCCTGAGGAGTCTCTGCATTACATAAGACTATAGGTAGAAGCCTGAACCACATCCAGATCTCCAGAGATGGGAAGTTTCCACTTGAAAGGACGAGGAAACCAGCCTGGAGTGGCTAGAAGAATAGAGGAAACTTCTTGAAAGAAATACCTACAGGAAAAATACACAACAACATAGGCAGACCGACTGTTACTACAGGAACAAGCAAGTTGCTTGCCCAGGAAACATCAAGGCAAGTGGTCGGGTCCCCTCAGTGCAAACCCCCTTCCAAGACTAAGACTCAGTGGGCATACATGCTCTGATTGGTGACCACGCTCATCACCAATAAGGGGAAGTGAGGGAAAAAGAGCAATGAAGCTGCAAGCTAAAACCTACAACGTTCAATAGACTCCTGTGAACCCGGGTGGAGACCTGGTTGGCCAGAAGTGTGGCAAGACCTGGGGAGTCTTGGGCCCAGAGTCAGTGACACAGCCACAGAGGACTAGAGTGGAGAGTGAAGCATCCAACTGATAAGACGAGTGGGCATATGCACAAGAACACCCACACTTGCAGATAATACCCACTTGTCCTGGCTTCAATGACTGGATGATCAGAGCTCAACCAGAAGAAGAAAGAAGAGGAAAAAGAGTAATCTGATACAATTTGATGAACTTGACCTACACCTATGGATGCAGTAGCTCAAAAGAGGGAACAAATCTTTACAGCAAGGATCATTCCCACCTCCTCCATACACAGAGTAGACAGGGATGGGCAACTTGGACATTGGCTACCCAAAATGGAGGGGCTACAAAGGCAAGAAGTGACTGGCTTACAGTCTTTCAAGAGGGAACCTAGATCCAGAGGGCCTGGAGGAAGGTAGACGCTCCACTGAGCAGTATACAATCTGTCTAGGCGGGAATGATGAAATGAAATGCGGGTGGGTCTCTTGTGATACAATAGTGAATACTTGTTATCAGGACTTCCTGTGAGGGTTGGAAATGTAAAGGTAGATGTTTTGTAGCAAGGAGGGGAGTGATTAACTTTTCAGTCTAGGAGCAGAGGTCCCTGGGACTATCAAGGGAGAAGAGCGGAGAGCGGGACCCTACCCAGAGAAGCAGTGATGCCTGAGATGGAGGTAGAGACAACGATGTGGAGAGATGGAGCATTTGGGGACTTTAGACACAGAGAGGGAGAGGGGCTGTGTGCAGACAACCAGGGGACAGGCTTTGGTTGGTTGATGATGCATGGAGGGGATTGTAACCATGGCAATGAAACGATGTACGATAGGATGAATGTAAAACTAATGGTCTCCCATGTAAACTATCACATAATTCACAATAAAACATTAAATAAATAAATAAATGCTAAAATAATGAATTTTTAAGTCTTAAATATCAAAATATCACATCTTGTAGAATCACTTAGCAGCATGCTAAGTAAATGTGAAAATAGAAAATAAAATTCAGAACAGTGTAATGTCTGTTTTATTTAGAAATTTTGACAGATATCAACATATCATTACGTGTGTTGTTGTTAAGCGCCGTCGTGTTGGTTCCAACCCACAGCGACTCTGTATAGGGTTTTTAAGGAGCAGCTAGTGAATCTGAACTGCTCATGGTAGTGCAAATCGCTTTGCAATCTGGCACATTAACCCACAGCACCACACCAGGACTCCATATGGATACATGGATATATATAAATGGAGCTCTGGTAACGTAGTGGTTAGGAATTGCGCTGCAAGAGCAAGGTCAGCAGTTTGAAAATACCAGCTGTTCCGCGGGAGAGAGATGAGGCTTTCTGCTCCCGTAAAGACTGACAGCCTTGGAAACCGTCCGTTTACAGGGTCGCTATGGGTCGGAATCGACTCCACGGCCCATCACCACCAGCACGTTTTTCAGTGCTATCAAGTCGGTTTTGATTCATAGGGACCCTGTATAGAGCTTCTAAGAAGTGGGTGGTAGGTTTGAACTGCCAAACTTGCGGTTAGCAGTCCAGCTCTTATTCTACAGCACCACACTAGGACTCCTCTACCATAATTTGTTGTTGCTAAGTATCAACGAGTCGGCTCCAACTCACAGGGACCCTGGATAGGGTTTCTGAGGCTCTAAATCTTCGCAGGAACACAAAGCCACATCTTTCTCCCATGGAACTTGTGATCTGCAGTCCAGAACTAATGGTATGGAGCCACCACGCTCCCTTTCTATAATAGCAGCTTTTAATATACCACTAGATTTTAATACACCACTTTCGATGAGACACAAAACAACTAGAAAGAGACTCAACAAAGACACAGAAGAAACCAACAAATAGATGTATATATATGTGTATGTGTGTGTGGATTTAAGCACGCACATGGTTTCTGTATATTTATGTACATATTTGTGTGTATATCTGTATATATACCACAAGATCAGAAGTTCAAACCCACCAGCCACTTGTGGGAACCCTACACGGGGTTGCTAAGAGTTGGACGATTCAATAGCACACAATACCACCAATAGCATACATGTGTACGGCTGGCAATGCGACATGGAAAGCTATTTAAGGTAAATTAGAATTTGGCCATGAATTAGATGTATAAAGTCAGGAATAAAATTAAGGATTACCACAATGTTAGTCTTGGGTAACTGGTTAAAACAAAGTGATGTTAACCTACAGAAAAAAAGAGAAAGATGAAGTTTGAGGTACTTACGGTTTATAACAGAGTCTAACATCATTCCTAACACATCTGATCCAGAATCACGATCGGCCTGCTATCAACACTTTTCTTCTAAACATTTTTCTTTCTCCCATTTCTCCCCAATCTTAGTAGCATCATTAGTTGACTCAAATATACCAGAGGTAACAGAGCAATTCTTATGTATATAAATGGCTAGTAATTACTTCAATTATAAATAACGCTATTGAGATTTTGAACATCTTACTGAATTCTTTTCATATCTCACCTCTGCCCATAATGAAGTTCCGCGTCCTAGGGATTCTTCTTGTCTCAGCGACATGAGAAAGGTTGAGACATCAGAAAAGGATACTTTCTCCTTGGGAGGGGAAGAGTTTTTACAGAATGTTCATTTAAAAACTTTTAAGTGAATAAAATAAAATCGCTGTGAAAATCAACCAAGTATATTATTTAAAGAAGAATGTTGTTGTTGTTAAGTGCCGTTGAGTTGGCTTTCACTTACAGTGAATCTGTATAGGGTTTCTGAGGAGCAGTTGGTAGATTTGAATTGCCAACTTTGTGGTTTGCAGTCCAGTGCTGATCCTACAGCCCCACACCAGGAGAATATTGATAATTAAAATAAAAGAAGCCTGTCTTTTTAAAAAGAAGATAATATTCAACTTTTAAATGAAGATTTTAGTTGCAAACAACTAATAGATTTTATATTATCAAAGATTATTTTACAAATCTATTTTTTAGAGGTTACCTGGTGTGGCACTGTGGGATAAAGCACTGGCCCGCAAGGTCAGTATGAATCACAAAGTCAGTGGTTCAAACACACCAGTCACTCCTGGAAACCCTATACAGGGTTACTAAAGCCACAAAAATCACTCCTGATTAAGGAAAATAGCCTAGGTCTTTTTCATCCCCTTAAGGTTGTGTATGTTAAGCTGTCTTGCTCAAGCCCTAGGCCTGTTCCTGGACGTAAAGCTTTACTGTAACACAATCATGCCCGTCCATTTACACACCATGGCTGCTTTGGGACCAGTGGTGGTTTAATGGAGGCTACAAACGAGGTCTGGGCTGGAAATCTACCTGTCTCTCCCACATGGGAGGTGACAATTCTACCATTAAAGCAACAATGGAAGAGCTGAGTAGCTGTAACAAAAACCATTTTTCCTGCAAAGTTTCAAGATTTACTATTTGGACCTTTAAAGAAAAACTTTGCTGGCACCTACTCTATATAATACTATTCCTGGGATTCTATTTAAAACACAACACTCAGCAGCACTTAACAACAATAGAGACAGCATACTTCCTTGAATGTGAATTTACTGTAAATTATGAAGAAATTTTATTATATATATATATATAAACTATGAACTAGAATATAAAAGTATACGAATTTACAAGAAGCAAGCTTTGACTGTCTATAATTACCATACAAATCTGCTTTTTATGCACCAAAACAACCTGGTGAAAATGTCTGAGAGTGCTCTTTGGGGAACACTTTCAGAGGGGGTGAGAGAGAAAAACGCAACAAACACACTGTTTTGTACACCAGATGCTGCCTAACTAAAAAGCAAGAGGGAGAGCTGAGGTTAAGTGCTCTTTTGATTATATATCATCCCATAAGAACGGGATAAGTTAGAGGCAGACTCGAAAGTTATAAAATCCTCCAACAAGGGCTCAATTTCCATTATTATATTCACTCACCACTTCCTAGACCCACTGTGGCAAGAGTTCCCAAAGCCACTCCCTGCTTCAGTCATACTGCAGAAGGACATAAAGGACTCACTATATATTCATACTTACGGCTACCATTTATTGCAGCAAGAGGACACAGAACCAAGTCAGCAAAGGAAAAGACACACGGGGCGAAGTATGGAGGCATCCAGGGCCAAGCTTCTAGCACCCTCTCCTACTAGAGTCCCACAGATCAATTTCATTCCCCCACCAACAAGTCACGACAACCATCTGTGGAGTGTTGGCTACAAGGGAAGTTCCCAAGAAGAGCCTCCTCAGTTCACAGGTGCCCAGGGTTTTTATTAGGAACTGCTCATCAAGCCAGGTGTTCAGCAGAAACTACACTGTTTGTACAAACTGTTCAGACACAGCGAGCCACAGTTCAATGGGCGTTTTCTTACAATCTAAGACTCCAGACACCAGCCAAGGGCCAAGGTTATAAGCAACCTGACACTCTTTCTAATGCTAGCACTCACAGGCCTGACACGTTAACCCTCTTGCATACCCACTCATTAAGATTACTAAGTGGAAATACTATGAGTAAACAAAATAAACTTACCACATCTACCAACTTCATAGCTGTCTGAAGAAGATAGCACTGAGCTGCCCCTCGTAACAGAATCTGATGTGTAATCATAGTACACTGAAGAACATCCCTGGTATCAAAAAGCAAACACACACCTTGGTTTTTGACAATTCTGATGGTTGACTGGCAAGTTGATTTATAACACTGACAATTTCCAAAAAGAAAATCACTGTCAGTACAATTTCAAAGTCATACAGGTCCAGTAAGGCATATAACAGAATTAAAATTTAATATTAAACAAATCTCTTAAAAAAAAAGACTATCTACAAAGATAAATGCTTTCTTCATATTTGCTTTGCATTAACTATTTTTCTCATATTTGTTTTTAAAGTAAAAACTCTGCATTTGTGAAATGTTTTCTTATGAATATTATCATTTTCTACATATCTGGGGCTGCGGGTTAGTGCACTGGACTGCAAAAGTCAGTTTGAACTGCAAGGTCGGCAGTTCAAACTCATCAGCTGCTCCTTGGAAACTCTATACAGGGTCGCTATGACTCTGAATTGACTCGACAGCACTTAACTACAAAACAACAACAATGTAATAGCATAAGCACTGGACTGCTAACCATAAGGTCGCCGGTTCAAACCCACCAGCTGCTTCTTGGAAACACTATGGCACCTAATAACAACAATTTAATAAAAACAGTAATTTAATAAAAACTTATTGGTCTTACTTAAAGCGGTCAAAATCTAACACCATATATGTTATGTTGTTAGGGGCCACTGAGTCAGTTCCGACCCACAGCAACCAGCATAGGGTTCCTGAGGACTGTCTGGTGAGCAAGAACCGCCAACTTTGTGGTTCAAGCCAACTTTGCTGTCCAGGTCATTAGCCCACAGTGCCACACCCGGACTCCATATGTTATAGTACACATTAAAATGAACAATTCATAAAACAAAAAGTTAGTCCAACTCTATATGAATAACAGGTTTTTGAAATTTACTTATTTTCATGTATAAAATAAAGAGTTAAACTACAAAGCTAGTTTTAACTGAAAACAAAATGTACGAATGAAAAGAATCCTAAATCAGCATAGCAAATTACCTGAGAGCAACGAGCCCTTCCGTCCCCAGGGCTTTACATCTTGGGACATTTGCCAGAGCTTTCGATAGAAACAAAATGGGCACGGCACACCAATGTTTACTGGCCATTTTCTGAATAAACTTTAATAGGAAACTCTCTGAAAGTTAAAAAAGAAAAAGGCTGCTGGTAAGTACATGAAAGATGGTCATCATTAGTCCTTAGGGAATGCAAATCAAAGCCACAGCCAGCTAAGGCTTCACATCCACTAGAAGGGCTGTTAGCACCACAGGCAATAACGTGTACTGGCAAAGAGCTGGAGAAATGGGAGCTTCTTCACACTGAGGATGCGAATATCAAGTGATGCAACCATTTACTTCAGTTGAATAAAAGAACTTCACTATGAAAGCAATCTAGTATACTACTTAAAATAGAATACGGTTAAATCAAAAGAAAGCTATCTGAATTGGAAACAGAAGGATGTTTTCTCAAAAAGTGAAACACAGAATTACCACGTGACAATGAAATTCCACTTCAGGAGAACTGAAACATATATGCACAAAAGAGCATGTATATAAGCGTACACATATCCTGATTCATAAACAAATCACAGGCTATTTGTACAAGAATTTGGCCACGCAGAAGAATGAAGTACATGCTGTAACACAGATGAACTTTGAAACCATTATGTTCATATGGCATGCAAGACCATTTATATGAAATGTCCAGAATTGGCAAATCTATAGACAGAAAGTACATTAGATTAGTGATTGTCAGGGACTCAGAAGAGAGGAGAAAGGGAAACAACTATTAATGGGTATGGACTTTCTCTTTGCAGTGATGAAATTATTCATTGGTGATAGCTGCAAAACTTTGTGAATGTACTAAAACCCAATGAACTGTACAGTTATTTCAATTTCATTCCTTTTTAAGTAATAGATGTATGCTATACCATAGATTTATGCAGCTATGTGTGCGTGTGTGTGTGTGTGTGTGTGTATAATTTTAAGGTAATACAAAAATATTTTCCTGTTAAAAACCATTCTTCAGTTTAAGAGGTGTCAAGGAAAAAGCAGGACATGACCATAGGTAACTGGCCCCTGGTATCTGTAAAGAATGACATTTGATATTTCTCACTGGCTATTTCTTAAACCATCACACCACATCCAGCACTCATCTGTTAGTTTGTTGTACTGTGGTGGTTTATGTGTTGCAGTGATTCTGGAATTGATACCACAGGTATTTTAAATACCAGCAGAGTTACCCACTGTGGACAGGTTTCAGATGAGGTTCTAGACAAAGCCAGACTAGGAAGAAGGAGAGACGGACTACTTCCAAATAGTCACTGACAACTTTGCAAGGAGTACTGGAACACTGTCAGACACCACCGGAATACTGAAGCATGATGAAGAGCACCAGACTATGATCAGGGCTAGTGCTGGAAGATGAGCCCCTCAGGGCTGAGAAAGAGCTGCCTCCTCCAAGTACAGCTGACCGTGATGACAGGTAATGCCCTGGGGGACCTTCATGTGCTGATGGGGCACAACTCAAAAGGAAGAGAAACAGCTGTAAACATCCATTAACAATCAGAACATGGAATGCATGACATATACATCTAGGAAAATGAGAAATTGTAAAAAATAAAATCTAATGTATAAACATCGAGAACCTAGGCATTAGTGAGCTGAAATGGACTGGCATTGGCCATTTTGAATCTGACACTCACGTGGTTTACTATGCCGGAAGAACAAATTGAAGAGAAACTGTGTCGCATTCGTCATTATAAAGAACAATTCAAGATCTATCACTACACTACCCGATAGGACAATATCCATATGACTACAAGAAAGACCAGTTAATACAACTATTATTCAAATTACGCACCAACCACTAATGTCAGTGATGATGAAACTGAAGAAATCTACCAGCATCTTCAAGGAGCTCTGGTAGCGTAGCGGTTATGGTTATGGCAGTTCAAAACTACCTACCACTTGTTCCACGGGAAAAAGATGAGGCTTTCTGCTCCCATACAAATTTTCAGCCTTGGAAACCCATTCAGGGTCACTACGAGTTGTAACCGAATCCACAGCACACAACCAACCACAACTTCTTCAGTCTGAAACTGATCAAACATGCGATCAAGATGCACTAATAATTACCGGCAATTGGAATGCAAAAGTGGGAAAGCAAGAGGAAGGATCAGTAGTTGAAAAATATTGCCCTGGTGATAGAAACGATGCTGGAGATAGCATGAAAGAATTTTGCAAGACCAATGACTTCTTCATTGCAAATACCTTTTTTTAAACAACCTAAAAGACAATTACACAGCTGTAAACCAGCTGGACCTCACCAGATGGAATACACAGACATCAAATAAACTACATCTCTGGAAATACAGGCTCAGCACTGGACTGTAAACCACAAGGCCAGCAGGTCAAACCCATCAGTTGCTCCTCAGAAACCCTATACAGGGTCACTGTGAGTCAGAACTGACAAGACAGCACCTAACATCTGTGGAAAGAGACAGTCAAAAGGCCCCAGCTCATCAGCCAAAACAACACAAGGAGCAGAGTGCAGAACAGAGCATCAACTGCTCAAAGGCAAGTTTAGGCTGAAGCTGAAGAAAATGAAAACAAGTCCACAAAAGTCAAAATATGACCTTGAGCATATCCTACCCGAATTTAAAGATTGTATCAAGAACAGATTTGACACTTACACTAAAAACTGAAGACCAGAAGAATCGTGGTATGACATCAAGACCATCATACAGGAAGAAAACAAAAGGTCATTAAGACAACAAGAAAGAAAGAAAAG